CACGTACCGTTTAAATGGAGGAAACTCTGAGACAGCGATAAGTCGTTCGGTTGAAGACGGGCTTGGTTACAATTATCTACGTACATCCCAGGTCAAGTCTTAACCTTTACCTTATGTAATGGGGTATAATCGATCGGAGTTCAAACTTGGGTATTAGATAACCTCACACTAGACGTGCCTTTTTTTAAAAATGTAACGGTCTCCGGGAGGCTCTAACACCTCCGTAACTCTAACTTTCGCGCGTATCGGATAGTCGAATTAGACCAAAAAATCAGAAACGCCTGGCACGTTGACTCCGTGTATTATCCATATTCAAACGAACGCGTAAAAACGTAAAATTGTCAGTCTGTATATCGTGGTAACCCGTGATTTCCCAGGCTGATTTTATTTCAATTTTTACAGATACCTTCCTCATCACCATGCGAAGGACATATATTTTGTTTCATTACTCCCTCACTCCAGTACCCTTGATAAATAAAAATACTAGTTAATTCCGTAAACTAAGTACTTCAAAATCCCTAATGTCTGCGATCGAAATCTTGGGGGGGGGGGGAAGGAATAAAAAAAAAAGAAATACGCAACCGGGCCCGGACAAACACAGAACGCAACAACTAGTAGGATTTTTATATGTATACACAAACGCACGTATACACTCGATTTCAACCTCTAGCCGTCGCAATCGATCATAATCGAGGGGCGCTCGAAGTTTAAAGCCGCCTAATTTCAAAATCGATTAATCATCCTCGGGTTCTCGTCGGTCGATTCCAACCGACGAGCGACTTCGCCGAATCGGCCGAAACGAGTGAGAGAAAAAGAAGAAAGACAGAGAGAGAGAAAAAAGAAAAGAAATCCGAGCGGAAGCGCCGAACTGTTAAATCCAGAAAGAGAATTCCGGCTAGTTGAGGTCAAATTATCGCGAGATCTGAAATTTCGATATATCCCGCGTCCTCCGGCTTTTCAACCCGGAGGCGAGACAAGACTTACGGTTCCTGGCACTGTGACAGTGACTGGCAGTGACTCCATACCTCGAAATGCCCCAGACGAGGAGAAGGAGACAACGACACGCCAGTCTCGTTGAATTTCGCGAGCTCGAAAGACTCCCGCCCCCTGCAAATTGAATCGCGGTGCAGATAAGAGACCGACGAAATCTTCCTCGAAAATCCGCCCTAAGAAGATAGTGGAAGACATTTTGCGTGCGACGAAGTGGCATTGCACATTTTTCCATGTCTAAGGATACCAAGAGTACTCGGGTATACCAAAAATCCCGCATTTATCATTCACGTTGCCCAAATCCCAGCATATATTTATCATCCTCACCTCCCCCATCTGAACATAAAAAAAAAATCGATAACGAATCCTCACGTAGACCCCAGACCCATTCCACTGAACAAAATCGTTAACGATAGCCCGTATCCGGTGAATTTCAGAAAACTTTCCCAACCGAACCGAATTTCAGTTCACTTGGCCGAACTCGTTTGCTTAAGTGGTTTTCTAAATTTCGTACGACATCTCAATCCTTCTCGAATATAAACCAGAAATATCTCGGGTAAAGGTACGGAGTTACTTGAATGTATCATAAGGCCTATCGCAATTAAATTAAATTAAATGTCAATGTTATCTAAGAGTCTCGTCAAAGCGATTTATCCGTCGGCCATACGATAAGCATGTTCCATGGTTAAGAATTAAACTAGATCCATCGAAAGACATTTCTGCGCTCCTGCAGGTAGCTCTGGTAATAACTCGGGCCCTCTCGAATTTTTCCCCAGTCTAGGGACCCGTCGTCAACCTTGACCGTGGACTAGCTTCCCAGGAAGACATTCAGCCGAAGGAGAGAGGTGGGGGTCCTCGTAGAGGTCGGAGCCGCGATTTGAGCGCCACTGGCGAACAATAACTCCGCGCGGCGGGTGCGCGCGCGCGACGGAGCACTTCAAAATGGCTGTCCCCAGCTATTATTACTTCGGGAAAAAACAAATGACGGCGCACTTACGTACGCACGGCGGTGGGGAGCGGAAGGGGGAGAGGGGGTTCGGGTCGGGCCGGAGGGCGCTGGGGGACGGGGGAGGCATCCAAGGCCCCGCGCAGGATTCTCGGGTATGCCCCGTGTCGAAAACATCGAGGCGTCGGCGAGCCGTCGTTTCTAGAATATCTGGATACCGGGATCGGGGTCTCGCAAATGAGAGAAAGAGGGCGACGGAGAGAGGGCGCGTGGAGGAGGGGGGAGGGGGATCGGGAACGAGAGAAAGAGAGAGAGAGAGAGAGATCGAAGTCTGCACTGACACCGCCCCCGGGTGACGCCCGGCGCACCGCGCGCGCTGCCGCGGCTAAATTCGAGGGGAATCGCGCGTTGCGGGCGGAAAGGGAGGGGAAAAGGAAAAAGAAAAATAAGGAGAAAAGGGAAAACGAAGACCGAGAATGGAAAGGGAGGACCGCGCTTAGATGGGTGTCACGTAAACACAAGGGCAGGGAAACGACGGTGAAGCGACACGGTCCACGTTTGCAGTAGGGGTTATATTTGCGAGCCCGGTCATTACAATATGACCCGTAACGCGGGGTCCTCGTCGAGGTGAGATGGGGAAAAGGTCGCAGGTAGCGGGGACACGTTGGCATGCACGTTACGAATACTGGCGTATGTCTTAGGAAGTGATGGACACGTGCACTGTCGCGATTAAATTCGAGAGGAATCGAGCGTCGCTCGCGAGAAAAAGGAGGGGAAAAGGGAAAACGAAGAACGTGGATGGGAAGGGAGAACCGCGCTTAGATGGGTGTCACGTAAACACAAAGACAGGGAAAAGACACGGTTTACGTTTGGCAGTAGGGGCTGTGTTCCCGAGACCGGTCATTCCAATATGACCCGTAATACGGGGCGCTCACCGAGGTAGGGAGAAAAAGGTCGGCAGGGATCGGAGCGTTAGGATTCGCGTTATGAATACCGGCGAGGGTCTTACATAGTGATGGATACATGCACTGGTGCGATTGCATTTGAGGGGTTTCTCCGCGTTGCGGGAAAAGAGGAAGTAAAGAGGAGAAAAGGAGGGAAAACGAAGAACGAGGATGGAGAAGGAACGAACAGCGCTTAGGGAGATACGTAAACGACACGGTCCACATTTTCAGTAGGGGCTATATTCGCGAGCCCGGCCACTCCAATATGACCCTTAACGCGGGGCCCTCCCCAAGGTAAGAAGGGGGAAAAAGTTCGCAGCGATCCGAACGTTAGGATCCGTGATACGAATACTGGTGAGTGACTTATAGCGATAGGTACATGTATATAAATATATATATATATATATGTATGTACGTGCCCGAGGTGTTATCCGGTCCAGAAGGTGTAGGAAATATTTACGCGACCGCGCGCAAAAACCGCGACTTCCAAAGGCGTCACGTCCCGTTATTTGCCCCGTAATTCCGCACGGTCTACGTACATATCTTCCGCGAACGGGCGCTAAACGTCGCTCGAAAGCGATTGAACCTTTTGTCGTCCCGAGGACGCTCCGGGAAAAAAAAGAAAAAAAAAAAAAAGAAAAATGCCGCCTCTGTTCCGGACTCGAAATCGCACACACACCGACGACCCCTCGAAACGCTTCCACGGAACGTGTCGGTACCGAACGGTATTTGCTATTCAGCAGCGATCGACCAGTTTTCAAAATATGAATGCGCACTCGCCGTTTCTTTTTTTCGCCAGGCGAGCGACCGTACCGGCACGGCACGCGACACACATACGGCGTCCAGTGTCGCAGGATAAACGCGTTTTAAATATCGAGGTCTTTGAATCCACTTGGAGCACGCCGCGACGGCGTATTCTCTTTCTCTCGACACGGCTCGAATATCTCGCGTTAACGAACACTTGAAAACTCCTCTCCTACCGCCACCACGCCCATCGAACAATACGATGTATAGATCTCCCTGCCGCCGCCATTATTCTACACACAAAAAAGAATTATAGAAAAAAAAAATAAAAATAATAAAAACACCGCAAACAAATCCCCAAGCTGACCGAGTCGATGGAAACGACTAAAAATAAATCCATCGCGATCTATCGGAGCATTGCGTCGATGCACGCGAGCGCGCCGGCTGCGGCGTTTCCCATTATCCCAAATGGATAAGTGGATAAACGGATAAATCGATAAACATTTTTTTTTCTCTCCCCCTCTCTCTCTCCTTCTCTCCACATCCCGCAATGCCGCATGACGTACCGCCGCATACCGCTCGCCGCGTCCATTCGAAAGGTTAATCGGCGAGCGCGACATAACCTCGTTCGCTGTATACGTAGGAAATTAATGGTGCCGGTTAAGGGCGTGCGTTACGCACAGGACGCAGCCTTGCGTCGCATCGGGACAATTACGGATGGCGAGGATCGAAGGCCGGCGACGAGATCGGCCTAGAGAGAGGAATCGTCGAGAAGACGACCGAGTATCGCCTAGTCGTTCTCCGACAGAAAATTAAATCTCGCGATAACCGTATCCGTTTGAACACCTCGGAGGGGCAGGTCGGAAGCATTCGAGAGACGATTCGTCGGCTATACCTCTGCCGGGCCCGAGCTCCTCGGTGGAGTGTTTTGCGTTCGTAAATCAGGGCTCACTCCTCGGCCAAGCGGTTCAAGACACATTCCCCAAATCGGCTCCCCTATTAAATATCACAAAATCCGTGAGTGCTCGCCGACGTTCGATTACTCGAAAACGCCGACAATGAGGCATTGCTTAGGCCGAAACGTATCCCGGTCGCGGGTAAAAGCGTCTCCGGTTACGGTCGACGCCGACGTCGCGATTGGTATTCCACGCAACGGCTCTCCGCGAGTGCAAGGCAGCTGGCGCGAGGGCTTTCACCCACGTCGGTTACAGGCGATCGTTACACTTTTACACACCGCGGGGATTCGTCTCCCCGCCGAAAGGGAAGAGACCACCCGAAGTCGAGCGAGGTGACGACCTCGACCTCGAATTCGGGCGGGCGAGGGCGCCGAGAGGAAAACGCCCTCGGGGGGCGGGGAGGGATGGGGGGTCTCTTACCGTTTGAAGTGCTCTCTTATGCGATCCTCTCGGATGTTTTCCGGCAGATTTCCAACCCACAGGTGACGTGTCTCTCTAACCATTTTGCTCCGAACTCTTCATTTGGGATCGGATGTTGTGGTATCGTTTGGCGGCACCGTACAACGACACACAACTCGCCGACCTGGGCACTCCCTCCCTCCTGGGCGGGCCGAGTCCGGCCCGGTTCGGGTCACACACGGGGCCCGGTCACACTCCCGCGCGGCCACTCGGGCCGCTCGGGGACACTCGGCCGCACACTCGGGCACACTCGGCGACACTCGGCTCCGCGCGGTGGCTGGGGCCCTCCGCCTCCCTCGGCCGCGGCGGCCTCTCGACGAGGACTCCCGCGGCGGCCAGCCAGCCACCGAGCACCACTGGCCGACCACGCGCGCACGCACGCACGCACGACCGTCGACGGCGAACCTCGCACGCACCACTTTCCCGCTGCCACGGAGCCCGAACACTCCTCCGTGCCCCGAGCGAGCGCGCACTAGACGGGCTATCTCGCTTCCGCTCGGCTCGTGCGCACCCTCTCTCTCTATCCTCCTCTATCGCCCTCTCTCGCTCGCTCCTTCTTTCCTCCTCCGCGGATTGCTTCCCGCTCGCGTCCGCCTCGTCCAACGCCCTCGTACGTCCCTGCCTATGTCTCGCGCGCGCGTCTCACAGGACGCCGGAAGGCGGCGCGCCCGGCCGCGGGGACCACCCGCGGGATTCACCACCGGCAACGGGGAGCCGCATCCTAGGGCGCGCAGCCGCTCACGTGACCGGCGCCGGGACCGGGCGCCTCGGGCCCACCGACCGTGCGACCTGCGCCGACCGACCGCCGCGCCGACTCGACATCGCGGGAGTGACCGGCGACCGAGCGCCGCCCAGATTGCCACGCGCTACTCCGAAGCCGACGCGCTCCCGGTCTTAAGAGCGCGGCCGCGGCCACTCATGTCGCGCACATCGCGGCCCGGGCCGGGCAAGAGTCGTCCCTCTCCTCTGGCCGAGCCGACGAGCTCGCGGCACTCTCGTCTCGCGTCCGGCGTCGATCCGGCGACACTCGCCGTCGCGATTCGGCTCCTCGCCTTTCTCACCTCTTTCTCGCTCGTACGCGCGTCCGTCCGGGTATCAGGGCGCCCGTCTTTCCTAGCGCGCGGGCGGCGTACTCGGGCCGTACCCTACGCTCTCTCGGTTGTTCGGCCGCACGTACACGAGGAGCTAGCTTCGCTCCTTCTCACTGCACTACACTACTCGGAGTGACGTCACCGTGGCGGGAGCGTAGCGAGGCTCGCCGGCCAGCGGCTGGCCGGCCGTGGAGGGGATGCGGAGGGGAGCGGAGCGAGTCTACCGGCGAGCGAGGACCGCGGCCCTGCCCCTCTCCGCGGCGCTTCCCCCTCCCTTCCTCCCCCGTCGGTGGAGCGCGCGCCGGACCGCGACGGGGTGGGGGAAGCCGGGCGCACCCGACCCGCCGCTGGGCCGAGGGGCGCAGGACCCCGGAGAGAGACCGCCGTTCTTCTCTGGGCTTCCGTAAAGCCCGTTTTACCCGGGCCCACTATTCGCACGAATTAGGCAAAGAAAGATGGACTCCGGATTCGTGGGCCGTGCCTCTTCGGCTTTTTCGACCGTTTCCGCGTTCGCCTCGCTGGAGTAGGGAACTTATTCCCCGGAAGGGCAGGGCAACGTCGAGTCCGAAGCTACGTGGACGATATTCTCATGCCGGGAGTACGGCATCGTCCAAACGCTTTCGTCAAGGCTCGACCCTTCGAATGCGTTTACGTAGGCACGGGATTTCGTATGCCATGAAGTTTGAAGATTTATACCTATTGTTAAACTCAAATCGCCTACGATATTTCACATTGTATCCGCAGGAAATTGAGTTTCGTCGCTTAAACGTCCCGTGGGCCGAGTGTTCCGATTACGAACATTGGTAGCGTCTTTGTTATCCACGAAGGCAATGACACAGCGTTTCGGAAAGAGGCAGATTTTTCAGTCTAGGGACAGAGTCCGAGCGGGCATATTTAACGGATTTAATCGCAGATTTTCGTAGATCCCCTAGCCGGATCCCCGTCACCTTGGTGCGCAAAATGGCCCAGTTTCTATACGCTTTTGGGCACCCTCCTCGATGATTCGGCCAGGTTTTCCGGTTTCGGTCGCGTCGCAGCGCGCGAGAGAGACGGCGCTGGTCTCCCGCTAGGCGGAGTGGGGGAGACAGAGCCATCGCGGCGAGTCGGCTCGCCGAGTGGGAGATTAAGTGGGAGGGGCAACGGGTCGAACGAGCTAACCCGAGCGCCCCCTCGCGTCCGCCGCGGCGAGGGCAAATAATTCGAAGAGAGGGGCGACCCCCCTACCCCGCCGCCCTCGCGCGGACGGTGGGATGCAGGGGGCGCGCGGAGCGGCGCAACGCCGGTCGAGCTCGGCCGCGCCAGGCCGCGCCGTCGGCGCAGTCGCCGGCGGTCGCCCAGTTGCGCCGAGCTCTTGCTTTGCCTATCGGGTGCCCTAAACCTTCCCGGCGGCGCCGAGCACCGGCCCGACGGGGTCCTAGCGGATATCGACGAATCCACCTGTGCGAACTCGACCGACCCCTAGCTCTTCGCCCCTCTCTTTCTTGCGCTCTTGCCTCTCTTTCCGAATTCGCTACTTTCTCGCCGATCGAGGATTGGGCGTCAGCCTGCTCGCGGTCCGACTATGTGCGGACAATTTTTCTTCCCACTAGCGAATCCACTCTCCACGTAGCGATCGGCGTCTCCTGAGCTGCGAGGATACTATCCGCGAAGGTGACTTCCTCCCCGGCGTCAATTGGTGGATATCTATCGATTCCCTTTTGTGATTGGCTCCCGACTCGCGAGGAGCAAAATGGCCGTTAACGGGGACGGCTCGGAGAGACTGTGAGACGGCAGCGCGGTGTAGCTCCCGGTGCAGCGACGCCGAAGCTACCGTCCCTCCCTACTTTCGGAGCGGCATCGTTGAATCTTCGAGAAAGCAATTAGTTAAGCGGTTAATGCGGTCAAGGGGACTCCGAGAGGCGAAACGCCCGTGACATCCACTCGTCCCCGTTGCTGACCGTTGCGCCGCGGGTGTCGGGTACGCAACTTGTAGGCGCGTATCTCGCGCGAACTGGCTATGTCGCTACGCTGGTCGAATAACCGATAAATTAGCCTCGAGTGCTTAGAGTACTTCTGGCGAGTCGTGATGCCGCGTAACGGGAGCGGTCCTCGAGTGTATGTATGTACGTACTACGGTGCCGTTTATCGTTTCAGCATTCGCGGGGTGGATTATTTTCTCTAACGGACATTTGTTGAAGCGCAGGACGTTTATGCTCGATGAAAACTGGGGGCCGGGACGGCCGGATATCCCTCCAGGCAAATTTATCCGAGGGCTCGGGGTTTCTGCGCTGTTTCTTAACGAGGCTGACGCCATTACGAGGGCTTCGCTGCGCCGCATCCAGCGAAGCGTGATTGCGGTTTACTTCCTTTTCTACGAGACACGCGATTGGCTGACTCGGCGGCAAGCTACCGAATGCGGCCAATGGCGAGGCCGCCTTGAGTAGGCGGAAATGGCGTCTTGTATTGCCTTTTTGAATTAAAGATGATGGAACTAATGCGTCTACCCAGTATTAGCAATTGTTTTTGAGGATTATCTTTCTATTTTTGTCCTTAATTGACGCAGGCGGAAGGTTTGTAAACTAGTCTCTGCGTAAAATATAGATAGTTACGTTCTATCACCGAATCAGGGATCAATAAATGTTTCTTTTGGGATAACGTTTAAATGTTCATCCTGGAACTACTGGGTATCTATTTAGGGTGTTGTTGAATACGGAGTTATATTTGTTTTGAATTTAATTGTGTAAATTTCTTTTTATGAATACAGTTATCGACAGAGATGGTCTTCAATTAGTTTGGACAATCCCACATAGAGGCGCCACGCAACAGCGAAATAATCGATAGAATTTGCGTCGGTACGCGAAAGTGTGTGATGAAAGTAAATTGTCGATTTCGTTATAACAGCACGAAAAGCGCTGAGAAAATGTAAATTTGTTTATAGTCAATTTTGTGGCTATACTTTCAGTCATAAAAGTTTGGACAAAATCGACTGTGCGTTGTGTTCGATTGTGCCGAGTAAAAGAAACGGGTTCCGTCAGAGATGAGTTGGGAGATTGCTCACGGGCAGGATCGCATTCTGTGCTGCCCTCTGGTTTCGTACGTTAGCTTTCACCGTTTTTTACTCCCAAGAGCGGCGCAACGAATTTCTGATAGGAGCTCGCGCTCTCGCGATGGCAGGACCATCTACCAGTCGCCGTTGGCGGCTCACGTACTCGAGATGGTAATACCATGCGGCAGTTGACGGTGGTGGCTTACCTACGCTTACCAACACTGCTCGCTTTTGATGGTAAGGGAAGAACATTCGTAACATTCCATTTGACTTTATCTACTTATCTACTGCAATTAAGTACATTGTTGCCTCGAGTCGACGTGATGCGGAGCTTTGGGGCACGCGTCGGTGACGCGTGCGGAACTCTCATGCAGCGAATCTGCGTGAGTGCGATCGCTCCTAGAAATCTTCGCGCGTCCCAACCAGCCAAGCGCCAAGCTACGGGTCGAGATGTTGAATATATGTGCGTTCGGCGCTACACTCGACGAGTATGCGTAAGAGTCGAATTCTGCGAAAAATCCTCCCGAGGCTTACCTAACTGCGGATATAAGCCGAGTCATTTCGCGTATGATTTTTACATTTCCCTACTAGCGTTACCGAGCGTTTTTAGACCGATTTTGAGCGTTACCGAGCGTTTTTCAACCGTTTTCGAGTGTTTTTAGAGTGTTTTCGAGCGTTTTTCAAACGTTTTCAAGCGTTTTCGAGCGTTTTCGCGCGTATTTCAAGTGTTTCCGAGCCTTATCGCCGGCTCGAAAACGGTTGAAAAACGCTCGGTAACGCTCAAAATCGGTCTAAAAACGCTCGATAACGCTAGTAGGGAAATGTAAAAATCATACGCGAAATGACGCGGCTTATATCCGCAGTTAGGTAAGCCTCGGGAGGATTTTCCGCAGAATTCGACTCTTACGCACACTCGTCGAGTGTAGCGCCGAACGCACATATATTCAACCAGAGATGAGTTGGGAGATTGCTCACGGAAGGGAT